TTTTTTTTTTTTTTTTTTTTTTCCATTGGCTACTTGTAAAATTTTTCCTTTTGCAGACATTTGTTGAGACTGGGAGAGCTCTCATAACAGGAGGCAATGTTTGGAGACCATTAAGGCATTTCAAGGAGGCAATGTTTGAAGACCATTAAGCCATTTCAAGGATGGCAACTCTGAGAGAAGCTGCTCATGGCAAGAAGCTCCTGCAGCAGCCTCCTATTAGGCATTTTGTTGTCATTGCTTGCTCTCCTGACACTGTACGGTCTTCTTCACGCACCTTGTGTGCATTTTGAGAAGAAACGCTGGTAACGCTATCGCTGCAACCTTGCAAGGGGTTGGGGGCCTCACTATACTAGAGATTTGTCTCTTATTTTGTCTTAATTTGTCTCTTACTATCATAAAACTGAAACTAACAGTCTCCCATCACAGCTGGCTGTAGTTATACTGTAGTGTGGCAAGTCTTCCAAATTTTGTGGAACTGAAAATCATACTTCTTGGTTCACACACCATATCTCGCTGCCTTGGCAAGGACCTTACCCTTACTCAAGGGAGCATAGGAAATGGTCATTTACAACTCAAGTGCATGGGGATTTCCTCCATGCAAATTTCCTATTCAAGAGAATTTTATTGCAAATTTCTGCAGGTGAAAACCATTAATTCAAGGAAGATGGCTTGAGACCTTTTTTGTGCCGAGGTGGCTGTCAGATTGGGAAGGGGCAAGAAGGGGATGGGATTAAATTCCCCTAAGTTTCAGGGTACGGTGGAGAAAGACTCCCAGGTTTGCTATAGGTGTACTCTACAATTTTAGGGAAGTTTCAACTCTCTCTTTGCATCTGTCCTCGATGAGTAAAACAGAGATACGTTATTTGTTTAGAAATGAGGCTGCTGGGGACAGGGATGATCTTGCTACAAGTACCAAAAGTTGTCCATTGCCATTGGGGCTTGTAGAAATGTTGATAGTACATTCTATTAGTCATTTGTTCATTCATCCGTTCTTTGTTCTCCCTGCCATGTCAAAATCACTCTTGTGCATCGACTTCTGGATCTTCTCTTTTTTTCAGTTTTACTTCAATGAACCTTTTTTCTCTTTTTTTTTTTTTTTTTTTTTTTTTTTTTTCACAAGAGGCTGTGCCTCATTTATTATCTCAGGAGGCTGTATCTATCTATTCATATCATCCAACATATGCCAAAGCACTTTGATTCAGTCCTCTGAAGTAATAAGGAATAAATGAAAGAATTTCCTTGGTATCAGAGCAGCTTGTCTTTTACCGGTTGCATGCCAGAAGAATGGTTTTATTTTGAATGGTTTGCATGTAACAGTAGTCACAGCTGTCATACGGAAAAATATAACTGATTTTTTTTTACAACATTCTTATTTTGCTGCAATTAAAAAAAATCACAGTATTGATGTAATTGCATAAGTCCAGTGCTCTGGTCTCTTCAGTGGGACCTGAAATGTTGACATGAGCGAACCCAGCTAAAATCTTCTTCCAGGCAAGTCTAAAAAAAGCAACAGAGCTTTTACCTTTTGTGTGAGACCTGCTTTGGAATTTCACCCTTTAATGTGCAAATGGGGCCTGCAGGGTCCTCTGAATATATCTCTGGCTCCTGCATTTCAAAGTGGGCTTTGGAAGCCTTGTGCAGGGGAATAGCTGTGTTGAGGTCTAGCACACTTTCCCTCCTTATTCTGTAATAAACCTAGCTTTGATTGGGGGGAAGGGGGGTATCGGGCTCCTTTACTGGTCTAATAAAACACGACTCATTTAAAGGAGAATCTGTAGAAGAAAATTATTGACGATGTTTCCCAACATGACGTCAAGACGCATCAGATCATTAATAGCAGAAGTTAAGGTTTGTGGAACTTGTTCTGCACATAACGAAAACTAAAGTTTATTTAAATCTGTGACTTTATGAAAAGACCTTAGTTTAACTCAGTACTTTCTCTTTTTTTTTTTCTTTACCCCAGACAGTGTTTTCCTGACCTTTTGCTAAGTGATTTCTTTTTTAGCTACAACTTCTAGTGTTCAGGCCATAGATTATTTGAATTGCTTCTCACTTCTTTTGTATTAAAATAATGGCAATTCTTTCAGGTTTTTTACGTACGTAGCAGTTCAATTCTTGAGTAGATTTTTAGGCTAGTTTTATCTGGAGATCTGTCAAAAAATCTTTTGATATAAGGTGGAGACTAGAAGTAATTCAATTATGTGGCATTTAAATAACGTTTAAGTTACTATATTTCAAACCATTTTTAGCAAACAGCAATAAGGTCACTTGTATACACAAAAAAGCTGTCACAAATTGAGTAACTGATTTTTGGAGAAAGATGCAAACATTAAGAACGTCAGCTTTAAGATGTCCTAAAGACCCAGTCATTTAAAAAAAAAAAAATTAACATAGAATTTAAATGCCTTCATCATCTAAAAGCAACAGTAGGAAAAACACCTGCTCTAATAAAGCCGTTGGCCATAAATACCTTAAGGAGAACATTTTAAAGTCTTTTGAAAATTTTCATGTTTTTTTAGAAGTAAGGATTCTTATTTCTCCTTGGCAACCTCATACTACTGTGCATGGCAAAAGCTGAAAGGCTCCTTAACAATTTTAGTGGATCACAAGAAGGACTTTTTTTATGAAAGAGCATTAATAGCTCCGCATTGCACTTCATATGGTCTAAAAAACCCCCAACGTTTTACATATACAACATTATTAATGGCCAAAGTGAAAACAGTAAGTTTTAGCCTAGGTTCCTTGCATCGGGGACAAATGTGGGGTTTTAATTTTAACTTATATTATAACTAACAAAAATGCATTTGAAATGACTTGTGTTTTTTCAGGGTCCACACATAGCATCAGTTACTCTTGCTGCATATGAATGTAACTCAGTTAATTTTCCTGAGCCTCCTTACCCGGATCAAATTATCTGCCCTGATGAGGAGGCGACTGAAGGATCCATCTCTCTGTGGGCTATCATCTCAAAAGTCAGGCTGGAGGCCTGCATGTGGGTAAGGTTTGGTTTATAAAACTTAAACAATTTGAATTTACGCACTTAATTTCCATGTTCAGCAATACACAAAAATTCCTGAACTAACAAAATAATGATGGCTTACACTGCCAGCAGTAGCACGTATATCTGCAGTATGAATAGTTGCTTTTCTGATCAACCTTCTCTGTACTAGCCCTGGATAATTTTAATCCCCTTTGAAGAGAAGTAATAGGATGTTGCTGGGCTGTCTTTTATCAACTGCACTGCTCACTACTTTTCTAAATGCTAGCACAAAACGCTCACGTGCTTCAGAGCTGCTGATGTAAAGGTAAGTTCCAGAAAGGGCATCTGCATCCCAAATGATCTTGCAGCTCTCCGGACTTACGCTGCATGCAGTTAAGCAATAAATAATTGCAAAAATTTTGAGCTTGGAACGTGAGTGAAGTTGCAGTTACTCATAAGAAGGACTCGGGCCCTAGTGTCATAGCTGAAATGTTTTTCTGGGTTGCATCAATAGATTGGATTAAATAGTGTTATGTTGCATGTTTTTATGCATTTTATTTCTATTTCTCTGCTTGCTTCAATCGTGGCAAACTTTTCACTTAAAACAGGAAAAGCGGGGTTAGCTTTTAAGTGAATCAGGGTCTTAGGAAACGTTGTCATTGGAACTTCCTTTCTGTTTTCCTTTTTTTTTTATTTTCCTTGTGCAGCTTTTTATAGAAGTTTGATTTTTGGAGGATTTCGGTCAGCTAAGATGTTTTTTTCATTATGTGTAGATTATTTTGAATTGCAGTTTACACAGATGCATCTGCTGTGAACTGCGTGCCAAATTAACTTTTTCCCTGCTGACTTCCTGTTCTGACTGGTGATTTAATTATTAAATTCTTGGTTGTCCAATTCAAATGTAGAGAGAGGAAATTCTGAAAATACATGCTATCTGATGTCCGCCCTTGTATTCCTTCTAATGATACGAAAAAGATAGATTAAGGCAACTTTGGTCACTACAACTTTTAAAATTATCAGCAGCTGTGTTACCTACAAAAATTCCAGTTAGGTTGCAGGCATTACAGACTGAAGTAATGTGTAGCAGTACCAAAGTCAAAAGAGTAACAGAGAAAGTGGTCTTACAGCCCTCTGTAAAGTAAAGTACATCTTAAATTTTTCTAATGAGAGGGCAGAATTGCCTGAATGCTTGATAAGTAGCTAAACATACGAGTACTTATAAGACCATAAATATAAGATTTCTTTTTATTTTCTTCCTCGTCACCCTCTGCCTAAGTTTGTTTAATGGAGACTAGAGTAATAAAAATGGCATTTACAATTACGTTTCTAGGGTTGCAAAATAAAAACGTAGCTCAGGGTAAACATCCATTGCTTAATCTTCAGCATGTAAAATAACTGAACTATGATGAGAATTAAGTAATTTAGAAATGAGGGAATAGGGTTGCAAACACGGAAAGCAATGAGCTTTCAGACTCAGACCTCCTGAGCAGCCATGAGGGAGAACAAAGGGTACCTCCAGTCCCTCATTGGAGCTGTGTTTCTTGGTTCAGGCTAGGGAAAGGACGAGGGAATAGGACCAAGCCAGAACATTTCTATCCCTGCCTTTCCTTCTTCTTCCCTTCAAATTCACTGTCAGCTACCTTTTCACCGAACTCTGTCTCCACTTGATTTTCCCTTGGGAGCATCCTCTGTCTACCAGTGGTGTCTAGTGTAATGTTATGCTTTCTTGGAATGTTTCATGAGTACATAAACATTGCTTGCTAATTTCCTGTAAGCCAAATCAAGTTGGCAATTGCTGCTGCTTCTTCCAGTATGTTTCTTTTGTCCTAATTCCAGTTCACTTTTTATGGAAGCTGTTGAAGAAACTTATTTTTGATTCTGTCACTCTTAAACGAAATGTCCGTCTTAACAGGAAAGTAACGGTGACTTCCAGAAAGTGAAAAGGCTGATTTTTGCAAATCAAAACCTTACTAAAAAAAATTAATTTCCTGCTTTTAAACTGAAATCAGGAATATTCAGTTTAATTCCTAATCTGGGTATGATCGAATGAGCTCACAAAATCCCCCCCCCCTTTTTTTTTTTTTTTTTTAATATTGAACCAGCGACTTCTAATTGGATCTAAAATCTGAACTTAGCATGACAAACCCTGGATAAATACAAAAGAAAAGGAATTAACAGATGTATACAGATGTGCTCCTAATGCAGCACATGGAGCCCTGTGAGGAATAGGTACAACAGCACCAACAGCCTACTTATTTTAGACTTGTAAAGTGAAATTATGTTGACAGGCTCCAAAGTGAATTCTGGCCAATCTCCTTCATTGTTTGGAGGGAGACAGGAGGGTGGTAGCAATGCAAGTTTTCATGTGAAATGGTGAAAGCAGGTCGGTCCCAGCGGGGACTTTGCAGACCTCTGACTATAAAGCTACCCAGACTAAGTATCCTGCAAGGTTTGAATGCGGGTATTAATCTGCACAAGGGATTTGATGCAGATCACAAAAACATCAGCGGCTGTTCCAGCCGACTTAAACCAGGTACAGTTTTTTCCAGAGATTAAAATCATTACTGGTCCCCTGCATGTCAGTGATAGCCTTTTTTGCTGATAATGGGTGTTACGAGGATTAAATATCACTGTATCTACAGAATTATTAGGTGGAATGAAAATGATGCTTTTTTCAATCACTATAAAAGTTGGCTCCGCCAGTCCTGGCCCGCAGAAGGACTCTCAGAAACAATCTGCTAGGTGCATGCCAGTTTTCACAGCCTTCCATCCCACAGGGACAAGGAATTCAATAGTGCCCTACGTTTTTAATGTGTTGCAGCTTTTTTTGTTTTTTTTTTTTTACAAGAAATAAGGGGAAAGAATAAAAATGTTTAATTGCTCAGGATTAGCAGAACAGGCGGCCTGTGTCCTGACCAGGATAAAATCTGTTTAAAAGACTCTTTCTAGTGGAGTAATTTCCCAGTTTCCTTTTCTGAATGTATTTGTGTAAAAGAATTTTGATTAGCATTTGCCTTTCCAATTTGTTACTGGTCCAAGGAATCTCCATGTAGAACTGGCATTCGAAGTTAGATGGTGAAAATGGACAGCTAACATTACAAAAAGCAGTTAAATAGTTACTGCTTTGGGTCCCTTAATTGCTGCTGCTTTTTTTTTTTAATGCACTTAAGGAACCTATCTCCAGCAGACATGAAATCATATGATTTTTGTTGCACTTCTGAAATGTTTTGTAATAATGAGCATGTGACTTACCCAATTTAAAGAAAGTTCATGTCCAGTACACACATGCAAACCTCTTCCTCAGTTAAGAGAACGAAGCCAAAGCAAATTGGCAGAGTCTGGAGAAGCAATGTGACTTTTTGTTCTTGCATCACCCTGAGAACATAACCTCAAGTTAATTTTTCTGAAACGTCGTTGCTACTGTTTTCAGGCTTATCTTCCCTTGTGCCAGAAATAGGCAGATTAATGAAGTTCAGCTTGTTGCACTCGTTTAAATTTTTCTTCTGTGGAAAACAAGAGCATAAACATAGGAGGCTGTGCACTTTATATGCTTAAACAGAGAATTTAACAGTTTGAGTAACTGCAGAGAGTGTCTGTATTTAAAACCACAACCTGTTGATTTGGAAGATCCACAGCAGCTGGAATGCTCGCTCGCTTGCAGCTGCATATAGAGCAGGAACAAAGGAAATTGAAAAGCTTTCACGTTGCTTCAAAGGAATAGGTTACTCACTGCTGACCCTAAGAGAGAAAAGCCATCTGCATGGAGCTAAGTTTTAGCACTTTTCCAGTGTGGTGCCCAGCTATTGTGCTATTACCTGTCCTATATTTAAACCATTCTGAGTTTAGTCCAAGTTCCTGTTTCATTGGCCTCTGTTTATCCATATGTTCAATCTTAGCTGTCTCTCTTTTCTTTTTTTCCCTTGGTTAAGCTAAAGTTGCATTTACCCACAAGATTGAAATGAGTCATTTGATGTCCTGAGAAAACAAATATAATTTTCCTGTGGTGAGAAAGCAATCATGCTTTCATCTCAGGTTCTCTTGGCTTTCTTTATTCCATCAAAAGGAGAGAGAAGACTCGAGATCAAGCTTTGCTTAACCTATTTTCCTTGCTCATAGCTGTAGTAAAACTCAAGCCTCTTTTCTAATAAACACTTGCACAAAGTCTCATGACTGAACAAGTAAACTACATGACAGCAGCAGGGAGGAGTTCCCAGGTTATTTTGAAGGCTGCTCAGGAGCAAGGGCTGTCACATGCTGGCAAGTGTGTCTGGCATCATGTGGTGGGGCGAGATGGCAGCTCTGTGCTGAGTCAGGGATCGTGTCGGATAGCGGGGCCCCCGGCCTGGCCGGCGCTGCGGCTGCAGCCCAGTGACAAGCTACAGCCTCCCCGCGCGCAGCTGGCCACCGGCTGCAGAGCTCTGGCAGGGCTGGGCAACGGGCCACTCTGCAGGGCCCCAGCGATGCACAGATCGTGTCGGTTTGACCTTGCAGACCACAGCTTGGGAGCCGCTGCCTTGCAGCATGCTTGTCTGCACTGAGGGAAGCTGAACTTTGCTGAACAAGGCAAGGGGGAAGGAAAGTGGGGTTTAAGAGGAACAGCATTATATCTGAAATCAGGAGAAATTTGACCTGGTGGATAAAAGCAAACTTCTCAAAGCAGCTGGTCTCATCAGTTCTAATAATCTGAAATGTCCACGGGACTATGCATATTACGTTTCCTATTTAAGAATAAACACGAAAATAAATCAGAATTATTTTCTTCCCAGGGTGCTGGCACAGCCATTGGAGAGCTGCCTCCATACTTTATGGCGAGGGCGGCCCGACTCTCTGGTGCTGAACCTGATGATGAAGAGTACCAGGAATTTGAGGAGATGCTGGAACATGCAGAGACTGCACAAGTAAGAACAGTGCAAAACAACAGAATTAATAAAACACAGAACAACTAGATGGAGTAAATAACCAGTCCAATGAAATGGGGAGGGGCCAAATATCAGTTGGTGTGAGTTCACAAGGGACTTCCCAGGGGTGGAAAAAGATCCTCCACTGGGTAGAGATACCTCTGGTGATGGGAGGACAAGAATGCAGCTTGTTGAAGCACATAAAATAGTCTGGCCAAAGTATTGGCTCCAAACACTGCATTTATTTAGCCTTCCAAGAACAGCACAATAAAGGTAGGGAGAAAGTGGGCTAACAAACGAGTGATGGAGGAGGTGCTATTCCATAATCAGGGTGGCTATAACTGCATTTAAAGCCTCCCTGGGCCAGGAGATGATTTTCAGTCAGCTCATTCCCTTCAGATGACATTTGCCTGCCTTGCCACTAACACCCTCAGGGGCCAGTGCGTGACCCATTCGTCAGCCTGAGGAAACATATTTTTCCTGATATGAAAATGCAGCCAAACTGCTCTGAATCCCTTTTTGTTGCTCTTGTCATTTATTTTCTTGATAGATTAAATACTGCTCATGTTACAGGATAGTTTGCAACTGGTGCTGTACATCAGTCAGATGCTATTGTGGATAATTTTTCATTCAGGTCAGGAGTTTGCGTTCTGTTCACAAGTTATTGATAGTGTTTTAGAAGAAATTTAAACATTTTTACCTCAAAACTACTTGCCACTGAATTTCTTTTCTGTATTTTTCCTTCTTACCCTATTTTCTCTGCCTCTTAAGTTGAAATGGTAAGGAGGCTGCTATTAAAAACCAGCAGATGCGACAAGCCAGACCTGGTATTTGTTAGGGGAGATCAGGCCCTAGTAGTAGGCATCACAGTTAGGTGTGAGAGTAAATCAACATCTTTGGTGAATGCAGAGGCAGAGAAAGTTAGGAAATATCAACATCTAAAAGATCAAATTCAAGAATTGACGAATACCAATATTACTAAACTCATAGGATTTCCTTTAGGAGCATGTGGAAAATGGCATCAAGGCAATTACCAATTATGAGCAGAATTGGGACTCTCCAGTCTTTAAAGTGGAGTCTCCAGTGCACTGCTGTCTTTAAACTGTTCTGCCAGGGTATTTTCTTGATAAAAATACACATACTTTTACTTTTTTTCTCCTCTTAAAAAAAATGGTTGAAGCTTTTCCATGAAAGAAAGTGGTCTGTCTGGAAATAGGGAGTGCAATCTAGTAATTCTGACAGTAAACGCTGTGTTTCCTGAGAGCCTCCCCCTACTAAAAGTTCCAAAAGGGTTTTTCTGCTATTGTAAATAGTAAATTTTTCTATTTTTTTTTAAAGATACAGTGGGGGGAAAAACAAATCTGCTTTGTTCTTTACTCTATCATCCGTCTTTGCTTTGCAAAGTAATCCCTAACTGTATAAAAATCAAGTCGTGGTAAAAAAAAACAAAACCAAACTAAAGCAGTCAAATACATGACTCGAGAGCTGAAATGCTATCTGTGTTTACTGAAACTCTCCCAGCAAATTACATGCGTGTAGAGTTGTGGGAGCAGCCAGAGTTGATTTCCAGAACGCACAGTAAGATTCTTGGGAAGAAAATTTTTGCTAGAGAGCTTTTTGTCAGGACAGGCCAAAATATAGCTAGCTGTATCGCCTGCACTTAGGGAACGAATGGCGTTGTGTAATTAATTAAGAAAAATGATGGTGTTATTTACCAGTACTTTTGATTTTATTTTCTTGGCAATTGAATCTGGATTGAAGCATGTTGTTTTGTAGATGGATGGCCAGGGGAAAAAAAAAAAAATCTTTTTAAACTCCACTTGAGCTTTGGTTTCTATAAAACTCTCTTAACATGAGGCTTTGACAATCCGATTAAATTGTATTGCGCTCGTAAAACTGACAGTTCAGTTTTTTCCATTTGCTAATATGACTTCTTTTTTGTTTTTTGTTGGCTTCAACCGTGTTTTTGCTAGATGTCTGTGGGGGGCAGGCCTTCCTCTTCCTATGACCTTGAGTAAATCCCAATCTTCAGCATAGCTTATCGCTATTTGTTCTCTAATTGCTATTCATGAGCAGCTACAGTGTCTATTTTTAAATTGCTCAATAACAATTTTTATTACCGACATCAGCTTCTCCCCCTCTCCCAAGTGGAAGCCTTATGCTTACGGAAACACAGGGGATGTGACAAGTGTCTTATGCCGTGAAGACTACTACAAATGTTTGATGTCAAGTGACAGGAGCCTTCTTTCAGTACGGAGGTCTCGCTTCATCCTGCCGTTTCAAAAGGCATGAAAATGGGTGTGTTAGATTTTGAAGAATAGCTTCCCCCTCTACTTCTGCTGAGCTGCTGTATGCCTACGAGGCAAAGCCAAATGGCTTGACGTTTTTGCCTGCGTGTGTTTTGTTCAGAAAGCCTGTCGCTGCTCTTTCTCAAAAACAATGGTAATTTTGAGAAACAGATGAGGATCTTCTATGGTGAAGAGAGACCGTGAATATAACATTCCTGAAGGAACTGTGAGGGGGAATGTGCTTGCTAGCTTGGCAGTTCAAAAAACAACAAAAAAAGGAACCTAAAAGGATTAAACAGCGTAAAGGTTTAGTGCTCCATTCAAAGTTACACAGAGTAAAATACTATTTACTTTAAAGAGTCTACTGATGGATTTTCTGTCATAAATCTCAGCCCTAAGTGACCTGTCTCCTTGAGCTAGGTTTTGAGAAAACTCATTAGCCTGCAGAGGATGTGTAAGTCTGCCTTGTACTTGCCATTAGCATACTTCAGAAAAAGCCCCTCATTTTAAAGGAACACTCACTTCTCCTTTCGGTGCGTCCCTCTGCGTGCACGCCAGTGAGTTAGTCCCAGTTACATAAAGGGAGTGTCAGAGCTTCTCTTGCCTCGTGGCTGCTCTTGTTGAAATCGAGCGGCTTTGCCCTGGAGAAGGAGTGTGGTTTACAAGCAGGGATTTTTTTTTATTTTTATTTTTATTTTTTTTTTTTTTATTTCTCTCTCTTGTTCCTCTCAGAGCTCCACACAATGCAGCACCCAGCATTTTATAGGAACAGAGCAACTCGGTCTGATTTCTTAATACTTAAGGCAGTATTTAAAAATTACAAATGTTTGAAACGGTATCTCAGTTGTTGTTAACTCTTCCAGTCGAATTCTAGAGCAAAGGAGTTTCTGATCAGAGCTCCCCTCTTAGCCACGGGGAGTATCTCCAGTGCAGCCGTTCAAACCAACCTCTCAATTAGGGGAAGTGAATCTAGTACTTAGTGCTGGGGCAGCACATTGGTAATAACACAGTGCAAGCATACTTTTGTACAGTTTCATAGCTACACACACATGTGCAGGGACTCTCTTTTGCCAGTTTAACAGTTGCTGATTGTTTAGCATTCTCATCTTTTCTCTGTCATGCTGAAACACTTCAAGCTGACGGAGGTTTCTGGTGAAAACAAAGCTTTTAACGCCAGCTTCGCTCAAGGTACTCAGTGATAATGCGTAACATGTGGGCCCTTGCTGTATCACGGTACTCCTTGCTAAGAGGAAAAAAGTACCAATATCTTTGCTGTATATCTTAATCCTTAATGACTCTGAGTGTTTGGATTCATTAAGTGGCATATTTTTAAGAACTAATGATTTACACATCAGGCTTTGCTTCTGTGCAGCGTTGCTGCAGCCAAATTTCCATGTAAAAATATTTTCTAGTTGCCTATGTTACTATCAGCCACTGCTGTTTGTTTACTTTCCAAACTGTGTCCTGCCTCGGAAAGAATACAAACTTGAAAAAGGGTTAAATCCATAGAAATGCTGAGATGCAGCAGGGCTCATTTGTAAGTGATTGAGTGCCATCTGCACACTGAATGTCAGTTGTTGCTGGGACCTGTTTTTGACTCCACTGAACCTTTACTGGTTGTGGTTTGTCTGGCCATCACATGACTTCTCTGAAAATTCCCCCTCCCCTCCATTTCCAGTAAACTGTTTGAACAGGAGTGACTCAGACTGAAACCAGCTTCCCTGTAACCACAGGGCTTGTTAAAGAATTTGTCAACGTGGACTCAAGAGGGTTTGTATTAAACTAAGCTGCAACTGCTTTGGTTTGCATTGCGTCAGGAGTTCCACCGAACAACTTCCTGCTCGGAGAGTCGGCTTCTTGTCCGCAAGGAGTTAAACTGATGAACTTCTGCGATAGTGACGGTTAGACACATGTTAAACCCATCTCTCCAGCATTTCTGAAAGGTCTGATGCCTTGAGCTGGATTTGCTTTTGCACATCTTCATGTGGGGTTTCTCTTTGCAGAAGCAGAACAAAGTACGCTACCACACCCAGCCACGGTTACGTGGAGAACCCAGCACTGTGTTCTGACATGACACTGTGACTTAATTCAAATGGAATGATTAGGTTCAACTAATAAGCAAAATGTTACTTAATTAGCAGTGTAAAAGATGGCCAAATTAAAAATTGATCTCTGCCGTGATTAAACTAACAGCTAGTATCTGATAAGTTCCTGCTTGAAAAGGATTCCCTGGCTGTTGGGTTGTTTGACAAAAAGGTTTTACGGGTATTTGGTACAAGAAAAAAGAAGTTAAAGCAAACCACAAGCAGGTTTTTATAAAACTTATCACAAAAATGGAAGTGGTGGAGTCATATACAATAACTGGAAAACCTTGACTTCTTTTTTTTTTTTTCGCTTTCCCAGAAATAACTTGTTTAAACCCAACATCAAATTCCGTTCATAATTTCTCTTGCTCAGTCTTCCAGTCACCCCATTTCCTCATCAGCTTCCTCTCTTTATTAATTGTGCCGTAGAAGAAAGAGATTGCTGGTGTTTGGTCTAGGCTGCCTGATGGGTGGCCACCAGGAGGCTTGTCTTCACACACTGCGTTCCTGATGTTTGATGCCTCCGTTTCTTAATATGTGTAGGGGAGGTATCTTACCTCTTTTATCTTGGCCCAAAATGAAATGGAAATTCAAAACTAATCAAACCTTGAAGCTTCACTTTAGAAAG